CCCCAAAACCCCAAAACCCCAAAACCCCATTAGATTGAAATGATAAGTAGAGATTTTAATATTTCTTAGCGAAAATAATTTATAATCAGTTTCAGTAATCTTCAAAATCATTTACCAATGGGTATGAAGTGGAAGTTATGTTTAGGGGATTGCTCAATCAATGATTATTGTTCTTGTAAGGTTAGATTATCTTTTCTCAAATGCAATTCTATCATTCTTTTTCTTTGGACAAGAAATTTGCATATTGCATCATAGTAAAGGCTTATACTTGATTTAGCAATCCTTAACTTTGGAAGTCTTAATATCATCTCAAAAAACTACTTAGATTCATCCAAATTTGTCAAGTAGTTAAATGGACCATTTATCTCTAATTCAGCCAAGTTATCAAAACTTAATATTTTCACAGTGATTGAATATTATTCTGCTTAAATATAATCTAGTTCTAATTTACTTTCATCTTATAAAGTATCATAAACTAAAGAAAGCTTTTATAGATTATCTTAATTAATCTCCTCCATAAAACTTCCTAATGCTTCCAAGATCTATTCTATAAAGCAACTAACAAATTGAAACTTTAGAGATTTTAGTGTTTTCTTTGCACATTTAATTATTCTGAGATAAAAATTCTCCTAATAAATAGATCGGCCATATAAAACCAATTCAAGGGAGTTAAGTTGATTGAATTTAAAATTTTCTGGTAGTTTAATTTCATTCATGTTTTATGCAAAATCTAGCTTTAACTCCTAGAGATTTTACAATATTGAAGATAAGCCAATAACCTTAGAAGGGTAAAAATGAGAGCTGTTAGAAATTTTGTGTGCCTAGAGGTGTAATATTTTCGTTAAATTTACATCAGGCTCCTGAAACTCTATCGTATAATCTTGATCATCAAATGGTATATTGAGAATTTTTATAGTTTGAGGTTGATTGAAGAAATACTTAAGGCCATTTTCCAGAGTATTTAAATCTGATAGTCTCATGTCATACTCATCAAATTTTAGCTCCTTTAAATGCTCGGAGAGGCTGAGAAAACCTTCATACATAGTCTTTATTCTTGTCAGTACTGTGTCAATCTTTTTTAAAGGAAGATAGGAGAATTCATATTGATCTGGCAGGTCAAGAGTCGATTCATTCCATTTACTTGAACTTAGAAGAGATAGCTTCTCTACTTGAAGTCTTACAAATTCTTCATGTTATTGTTTATGTCTAGGCATGCAAGAAAATAGGATTAATTCTTAAACTTTCTTGAATGATCCTAATATATTTACGTGACTGTCAGTAAAGTAAAGAATGAAAAGTTGACCAACACAAATATCATAGCTTGGAATCCATTCTTTTACTGAAACATCTTTTGAGCACTCAATGGTCATCCTTAAACCATTAATATCGAACTATCTCAAGAACTATTCAGCATGCTCTGATGCCTTGATCTTAAAATAGATATCTTTCACTCTGAGCCTTTCAATCTATTTTTGGTAATTCTCTTGCATATATTGCTCACCAAATTGATCAAAATTGGTACAGATTATGAGTCTTTCAAGAACATGATTTAAGGAATTTTGATCAATGTACTCAACTAACTTATTCAATTAATCTTAATGATCTATTTCTACTATTAGTCTTTCATAATGAGTTAATCCGTTTATGAGATTCTAAAGTTCCTATTAATGCCTTGGGTTTTACGTGGTAAAATTAAGATAAACAGAAGAAGTGGCTCTCTAGGTAAACTGGCTACTAAACTACTTGATCTGATTCAAATTTTAAACTAAGTTTTTTCTCATACATTGATTTATTCTGAACATAAACTCTTCAATGCTGCTAATCTTTGTCTGCTGAGCATTTATAAGGACCTAATAGATATTGTACTAATTCTTAATTTTGCCTAGGCTTATTTAATGATTAGATGATTCCATATCTTGGTTGTTTTGTATTTTTATCTGTCTATTAAAATGAAATATAATATTAATTATCAAGATTTATATAAAACTTTATTTGTAATTTATTTATCAGATTCTTAACTTAATCTCTCTTAATGGGGTTTTGGGGTTTTGGGGTTTTGGGGTTTTGGGG